CGTTGATCCTAAAGTCTTTGAGGTGAAGCTTCTCAGATTTGATCCTTCGAACCTTCAGAGGCTTCAGGTGCTTGGCCAGCTTGGAGTTCTGTCTGTTGGGGGGGTTCCCGGGGCTCGGCTCTACCTCGGCCCTGGCGGGGCTCGTCGTCTGGTCGAGCCCCGTCAAGGACTCGTAGGATGGTAGAGAGACGCTCAGCCTGGGGTTCTGCTCCAACTCCCTGCCTTCTGAGTAGTTCGTGTTTACCACCTCCTCGTAGCTGGGGACATAGTACCTCGAGGAGGCCTCTTCCTCCTCCTCTTGGCTGCGAAGCAACAAATATACTCAGTGTTAGCAAATTAGACACAGTGAGAGCACGCGCCTGAGCAACTTAAGGCCCCGAAGACCGCTCTGGGAGGCTGAGGCAGGAGAATCCCAGGCTTGAGCTCAGCCTAGTAACCTATCTCAAAATTTAAAGAGAAAGGGAGGGGAGGCTAGGGATGCGGCTCAGTGCAAAGCCACTGGGTTCAATCCCCAGGGCTTTGAAAAAAAAGTCCCAAAGAGATAACTTCAGATCCCACCTGGGCCCTGAGCCTACACTCCCCAGGAAAGCACAAGTGGGTCCTTGAAACAATAAGAGCTAGTGAGCCAGCTGTGTATAACGACGAGGGCAGCACTGTTCGAAATACACGAATAGGCTGGTTCATCGTCTCGGCACCAGGACTAAATGCCACGGTCACACCTATTTTATACATCAGGGTTAAGCGACTTGGACATGCCTTTAGGAAGCGAAAAGAAGGTGAAGGCTACCTGCTACCCATGCCATGCTATGACCTGGGTATTGAGCTTCCTTTGCCTTAAATCGTTCGTGTGTCACAACATGTCCTGTGGACTATTTATCCCCTCCACAGCCAGGTCCTGTGGCCAGGGGCAAGGCACAACCCTATGAATGGCTACGGTGTCAAGCCAAAGGCTGTCCCCAGACATAGAAGGAGTATGGGATGTAAAACAACAACAACAACAACAACAACAAAACAAACTATGGCTCACATTTAAATTAAAATAAAAAAATATTAGAGCCGGGGATTTGGCTCAGTGGTTCCACTGCCTGCCTGGCAAGTGAGAGGGTCCGAGTCTGATCCCTGCTACCCCCCCAAAAAAGTATTGCAATAGAAGATACAGTGCCATTAACCTCCTTTAAAACACTCCCCTAACTTCAAACATACTTTATCCCCTTAATCGTGCCACTTTCTTAAGAAGTTTTGGAAGTCTCCTTTTGTGAGTGTCTTTTGGTAGTTGTTTCAATGTCCTGAATTGATCCGAAACATTTACTACAATTTCTGTTGAATAAAACTAGCACAGGATGTCTCTTCATCCGCCTTATTTATTGGATCTGGCACCGTGTGACTTCTGGCTCTTTCCCAAAGCCAAAATGACCACGGCAGGGAAATATTTTGAATGGATTCAGGCCTCTGAGGCAGCCAGGACAGCACAAGTAAAGACACTAGCAAGAGGGGAACTCAGAACTGATTCAGAAAGAGACAGAAACAATGGGATAAGTGTATTTGAAGTGAGGGGCTTAGTGGCAATGTGCCTTTTACACTTGTTAAAAATTTAAACGACTCCATAGTTTTGTCACACCACACATGGGAACCATTACATTTCCATATACCTCGATTTATGCTGTAATTTTTTCTTTCACGTTCACTTGAGAGACTCAAAGAGATCAGATCATTAGCCTTCCTCTCACTGAACTGTTGAAAGGGAAAACCAAAATCTCAGGCCGTCTTTACACACAAAGTGGCCAAAGCCCGCCTCCGGGACCTGGGGGAGATCATGACCCACCTCAGACCGCCCCCTGCTGGCCTCGATCTCCTCTTCCCCTCCGTGGGGAAGGAGTCCGAATGTGCTTGTGGCTGGGGCAGGGAGTTACTGGTGACCGACTCTCCTCCCTTGCTTGTCCTTTTCTGTATTTTCCAAGGTTTCTAGAATAGCCTGGGGGTGGCTGATTTTATGTGCCTGGCCACGAGGGGTCCATTTCTGGGTGTGTCAGAGCGTTCTCTGCAGGAGATGTGCACTGAACAGGTGGCCTCAGTAAAGCCGTTTTCCCCCCCAGGGCAGATGGGCCCAGGGCAAGCTGCTGGAGCCAAGGACGGAGGGAAGAGGACTCATCCTCTTTTCCTGCCTCATGGTAGGCGACAGGTCTCTTTTTGCCTCTCCTGCCCCTGGACTGGGATTTACAGTGTTTCCTTCTTGGGTACTCAGCCTTCAGACATGGGCCGAGTCTCACTGCTGGCTTCCTGGGGTCCCCGTTTGCAGATGGTACCGCAGAGCATCTTGGTCAGTGACAGACAGCACGTAGGACAATGGTCCCATAGGCCATTCTACCAGTCATGGCCCCAGAGTCTCCGGGTCATTAAGCAGTGCATGGCTATCAGTTCCACTGATGCTGATTTTCTGGAAAACCCTAACACAGCGTGGATCACCTTTAAAAACAACTCCCTCCTGCTTTAAAGATCAGATATGATTGTAGAAAAATGTAAGCACCGAAAAATCTAAAGGGAAAAGAGAGACATCCCAAATTTCCACTGGAGACACCCACTGTGAATATCGGGGCGAACACCTCTCCAGCTCTCTGTAGCCCGCACCACCCCAGGAGATGCGAGAGGACCTCACCAGAGACTTCCTCTCTAGAAGCATCAAGTTCTTTGGAAAACTATTTTACAGAGCCTTCGTGGGCGAGAGCAGAAGGCCATGCCTCTACGTTTCCACGTGGACGGCCCGGAAAGCGGGCCCCTCCTGCAGCCCGGTCCCGGGTGCCCTACCTGTCTTCCTCCTGGGCTTGCGGCGCGGCCCCAGCCTGCTGCTGGATGCGGGCCAGGTCCTCGCTCTGGCGCTGCTTCCTCTTCTCTCGGACACTCAGGCAGATGGACAGCAGCAACAGCATGACCCCCGCGCCGATCAGCACGTAGGCCACAGAGAAGGTCTTGCTCTTGAGGACGCCCCCGCCACTGCTGATCTCAGTCTTGTTCCCCTGAGCTGTCGGCTTTTCCGCAGCGCTGAAGCCAGGGACCAGGTTCCACATGGCCATGATGATCCCGAGGACCAGCATCCCCAGGCCGATGGCGGTCAGCGCGTGGTGGGAGCTCCTGGCTTTGGACTGGGCCATCATGTCCGCAAGAGCCGGGCAAAGCCCGGGTCAAAGGAAGAAAGGAAAGAAAGAAATAAAAAGCAGCAGCAAAGACCTCTTACGTGCACTTAAGAAAATCTCTAGTTCCACACTAAAACATCATCTGCTGAGTTCTCAAGGGGCAGCTGCACGCAGGCCCTGGGCATCTTGCATGCACAGCTGCATCGGAGAGGTCTGCAAAGAGACAAGGAGAACAGAGAAAATCAGCTCAGACCTGAGACGCCTTTGTGCATACAGCGGCCCCGCTGTCCTCCCAGGCACAAAGCAGCTGCGAGCCGGGGTGCTCTGGCCAGCTCAGCTGCGTCCCACCCTGAACTCACCCCGTCTTGTCGGCTGCCTGGAGACTCCTTGTGGGACCGGCAGAAAAAGCCGACCTTCCTACCTCCAGGGCAAAGGAGAAGCCAGATCTTTCCTGCAGGGGCCGAGCAAGGCCAGTGCCCAGGCCATGGGGACACTTGGTGAATGTAAACGATGCCCAGGAAAACCTCGCAGCACAACTAGGCCACCACCGGTCCTTCGGGAGGATCACCTGGCGCTGGGGTGTCTCTGTCGGTGACAGCCACCACGAGGCCTGCGGGCTCCGTGTGCCCCCTGTGGGCTCCGCAGTTCCGGCAGGGGAGGGGCGCTGCCTCCCCGCCAGCCCTTCTCTGCCTGCCCCCTCGGGCACCTTGCAGCTTTCAGACCACCCAGCCCACTGCCCTCCCAGAGGCTCCCAGAAGCCCCCGCAAGTCATCTCTTTCTTCCTGCGACCGCACCGTCGTCATGGGGAGCCTGGCACAGGCAGGGACTCAGAAAGGGTCTGCGGGACGGAGGCTGAAGGGCGCGGACGGAGACCCAGCAGACGGGCGTCCCTCAGCACTCGGACCCCTGCTTCCTCCCCTCCCCCTTCCCTTCCCTCCATTCTCTGCCCTCCCCCGCACTCCCCTCCCTTTGCTGTTTTGTGATACTAAACACAACCCGGGCCCTTCAGCTAAGCTATCTCCCAGCCCCTGTTTATTTTGCAGCAGGGTCGTGATAAGTCGACGAGTTGCCCAGTCTGGGCTTCAGGTTGCAATCCTCCTGCGTCAGCCTCCTGAGTGCTGGAATTATAAAAGTTGTCCTTTTCTTAAAGGGGGCACAAGCCTGCACATTTCTCATCTTAGCTCTGACCAAATGGACCCTAAAACCCTCTTCCCGGGAAGGAGCGCAAAGATCCTGAGCTAACAGATGCAGCCAGCAGCCCGGGAGGCCGGAGCCGTGTGGAGGTGAATGAGTCGGGGAGCCGGTCACGTGACGCTCCAGGGACCCCCCCTGAAGTGCGGAGGTGCAGGCGACGCTCCGGTGGACCACTGCTCCATCAGCGCTCCCCGGCAGGAAACTACGCCAAACGGTAAAACTCAGCCGATGTTTAGAAGGGGGAGGTATTCTCTCCAGCCTTTCAAAGCGGACAGCTAACCAGGCCAGGCCACATCCGACTCCACAGAGATATTTTCTTGCCAAACTGGCCCCACCCGAAACCTGCCACTCCGATAAAAGGCCCGCCACAAATATTTGGGACGACTTCGCCTATCAGCTTGGGGGCTGCACCCTTTTTTTCCCCACCCAACAAATATTTCTTGGTGCCCGTGGAGCAGCGCAAGGCACTGGAGAGGCAGGTGACCAGGTCTGAGGTTAGTGGGGCGTCCGGGCTGGCGGGGACAGGGTCCCTGAGGAAGAGCAGGAAGTGGGAAAGCGTGGGAGCCACAGCTTTAGACAGCGGGAGGCCCCGCTGATCTCCGAGGAAGCCAAGTGGCTCTGGCCGGACAAGAAGACACAGCACTGTCTGTGTGCACAGGACGCTCTGCACACATGTGCACCCGTGCGAGTGAGCACTCTCACACACACATGTGTACATGGCATGTTTATGCGTGTATCCCCCACCTGCCCGCTGCGATGCTGTGTACCTACTTGCACATTCTTGCACAGGCAGGGGTGTGAGCGGGCCTGAGCGTGCACATGTGTGGTGCGCAGGGGCTGCCGTGTGCACACAGGGGTCTGTCTGTTTCTCACCGCATTCCTCACGCTGGGGACTGGGGGCCGGGGCTCTGCCTGCCCCTGGAAGCACCGGTTCTCTGGAATGGATCCTTCCAGTGTTGAGGATGGAACCCAGGGCCTTTGCACCGAGCTGTGCAGGGGGCTGTAATACTCATCATGCCCAAAGCAGGCTGGGAAGAGTGAACCCCACAACTGGCTGTTCATAGAAATGAGTCCGGCCAAAGCCTGTGTGTCAAGGTCAGAGTAACTCGCACCCAAATTCCATTCCCACGATTAAAATCACACTAGAAGGACAGTGTCCCAATTACGACCACGTGTTTGGTCTGTTCTGTTTCTAACTGGAGAGTGCTTTGTCTTGTCCTCTAAGAGTCTCACTTAACATTAGTTTTCACAGAAACCACAAGGTTGCGCATCCTGTCACGTATTCCTGTCCTTGCACACGACTCACTTTTATCCTAATTGATGAACAATAAAAACCAGTGGATGAGATGGATCAGTGCCTCGCGCCAAAGGAGCACTGCCCGTCCCAGTTCACACTTCCTCTTTAACTCTGACTTTGAGTTTCTCTTTAACCTGGCATCCTATCGCGCACTACCAGGGTGGGGATTAGAGACTTTCTGCAGGAGTCTCTGGCAGCGATACCTCCTCAGCCACTTTTAATTTTATCTTAAAACAGAGTCTCGCTAAGTTACTAAGTTGCCCAGACGGGGCTCGAACTTGTGATCCTCCTGCCTCAGCCTCCAGGCCACTGGTATTGCAGGTGTGCCGCACCGCACAGGGCTGCCGAGCGGATCTGAGACAAGGCGAAACTTTAGGGGGTCAGGGACAGAGACGTGCACAGCCAGGGCTCGAGCTGGAGTGGAAAGAGATGAGCGCCTTGTCCCGAGCCTCACCGGGGCCGCAGTAGCTGCGTGGGGGGCTGCGGGCAGCCCTCCGCCTGCCCTACTCTTGTTCTCTCGAGGCAAGCTGCGCCTCACGCTCTGTCACCTGGGAAACAGGCCCCGTGGGCCAGCTGCGGGCAGAGGAAAGCATCGCGATCAACACATTTTTTGCCTATTAAATCGTCGGTGATTAAAACCAGCCAGTGATGGCCAGGTGGGAAGGGAGTCGGAGGGCGGCTTAATGCAGTATTTCTGGATGGCCAGCCTGGGTGTCTATGGAGTAAGCATTTCGGAAGCGTCTGTGCCCCTCGCCTCTGTGATTCCACCTTCTCAGGATGACGCGGCATAAAAACAGGCACCGCAACTTCATAGCAGCGAGAAGCTGGAAGCCACTAAAGCAGTCAGCGATCCAGATCTGATTGAGTGCACGATGGTGTAGGCAGCTATTAAATTCTAGCCACACAGCCGCCAACAGCGCCGTTTAGAGTCAAGCACGATGAAAGCCACCGTACAGTATGTTCAGTACGGTTCTGATTTTTTAAAAGAAAAATTCTACGAACACATAGGGATGCACTAATATATGGGAAAAAGAGAGGATGATCACGCTTTAGTTAGAAAAGATTTTTAAAGATGCTACATTTTTAAATATGTAAATCCGTATGTTAAAATCCTGTGAGGGCCGAGCTTATACCAAGGATTTCTCCTAGTTCTGGAAGGACAGAGAAGGAAAACTTCTGATTTATTTCTGGATTTTTAACTTTTTACGGTCAGAACACGTGGCGGTCAAAGCAGCACAGCAGGGCGGTGAAGGGAGAATGTGGCAGCTGGATTTGCCTGGGTGCTGACCCTCACTCTTTTCTTTCTCAGCTGGGTGATCTTGGGGAAGTTACTCAGCCTCTCTGTGCTTCAGCTTTCACCACTGTAATAGGGAACCAAAGCCCCACTAGCACACATCTCACTGGGAAACTACGGTAAGGAAAAGTAAATGTACACAAGGAACCCAGAGGGGTATGCGCCAAACTCTGTGTTTTTACTGTAAGGCGAGGTCACCCGCAAAAGGTCCAAACCATGGCACTTGAGGGCAGGGTGAAAAATCCTAGATATTACTAATGTTTGTGGCCCAAGATTCCCTAGAAATACTCCTTAGGAAGGTGACATGAAACACTATTTACTGTTTTCTACTGTTTCGGAACTTAAATTAGATGTACCATGACGTTCCTAAATATTTTCTCTCTGTGGTGGGACTAAGGGTGATTTTTCCTTCTTGGAAGGATTAGAGGTAGGAAAGAGAAATGTTCACGGGTTGGTTGCACAAGAGGGGCTCTGTTTTTTGGGCTCCCCACAGGGCTGTGTCCAACAGGGCTTAAACTTGGTACGGGGTCTGTCCGGTCTTTGCCGCGGCCCCAGGGCTCCGCGAAAGCCCCTCTGGTCTCTGTTTATCTCGTTCCCTGCTTGTAGACCTTGGATGGCACCTAGGTTATATTTAGCATGGTGTTCTTTCCCTTGCAAATATATGGAAAGAAGCTAATTTTGTGCTTAGAAGATCTGGACTGCACGGCCATGGGGCAGCAGCCCTGTGGGTGGCCAGGGCCCCGCCGGCCAGCCTGGCCTCGGGCCCCCAGGCTGGACCTGATCTTCGTGACTCATGGTCCGGGGAGCCGGCCCTCGGGATGAGAGATGGGCCCTGTGCCTGGGTTCTCAGGACGGGTCCTTCGCCGGTTAAGAGAGGGACCTAACTGCTCGCACCTGGGGAGGCTCCCGGCAGGCCTGCAAACAGCTCTTTATGCTCAAATCCAGAGTGGAGGATCTACCTGTGAGAAACGACCAGAGAGAGGCGGTGTTCTGAGAAAGCCACGAGCACCTCCTTTTCTGAGGTGTCCGCTGGGGAGGCCACTGGGCTTGGGAGCTGCAGAAAGAGAGGATGCTGGGTAAGTGGATGCATGAGAGGCGGTGGTGCTCAGGGAGCCACAGCTCTGCAAATGAGGGCAGCAGAAGGGAAAGAGGACCGTTCTGGGGACAGGGCTCACCAGGCACTCCGGCGGCTCCGTCCCGAAGAAAGGCGGCAGCACCGCCTGATTCCTGGATTGATAGCCAAAGCACAAAGGGACAGCCAGGGACAGAACCGCGCAGGCTGATCAGATCCGCGAGCCCAGAAGCAAAAATCTGAAACAAAATACCAGCAGAGGGGATCCAACTTTTTTATCTTTTAAGAGAATACAACTTTTCTCTTTTTAAGTCATCAAGTTGGGTTGATCTCAAGAGCGCAGAGCTGGCTCCACG